CCAGGCCTTCCGCGCAGCCCTCAAGACCTGGCTATCCCAACAGGCCTGGGGATAAGTTTTTAATTTGCCCCACCCGAGTGTTGAATGCAAGTTGTGTTTTTATTGCTCTATTTGTTCACATATTGTCTATTTTGAATTGCACTCCCTCCCTAATGATTGTGAGCCGCCCTGAGTCCCCTCAGGGAAAAGGGCGGCCTATAAATCTTAATAAAAACTATGAAAAAAAAAATTAGCTTTTGTTTCTGTACTGACTTTTTAATAATAAAGAATTATCCTTTTCATTCAGGAGCTTTAGCGTCAGTCCCAAGACCTTAACCACTACCCTACACTGACACATGAATATTTTTTTAAAAGTCATTTCAATTGAGTTAATTTGCTAGAGACTTCATAAACATATCTTTGTAGCATCATTGAGGAAGTACTTATGGAATTATTTGAATTAATATGAGTAACATATTGGAATGTATTTGCAGCTTCATTAATTTGCCGTATCTACAAATCTAATAGTCATCCCTGTTTTTAGGAAGTTCTGTCTGGTGACCTGCAGGAAATATTTTATTCAGTCCTTTTTTTATTATTTTGAACTTCTCACTCAGAACTGATTTTTTAAAGAGTTATATTAGCATTCATTATTAATGCTAGGATATCTAACCATTCACTTCTGTGCACATTCTGTGAGATAGTCTTACTGCAAGTAATCTCTATAATAACAGGCCCAGAATTCATTTGCTTCCTCACAGTATGCAAACCAGGAGAATTTCTATGTTGAATTTTATTTAAAAATGTTACAACAGAGTGCACTTATGTTAATATTGTAAAATGTGGAATGCATTTTAGTTGAAAATGAAAGACAAGTTATGAAAGGTAACATGAAGGGACTATTGCTTTTCCACATATGTCTTTTTCCCTGGTTTTTACAAAGTCTATTAGCATATCTTTATGCAATGGAAATTTTATCTCCTAACTTCAAGTTGAATAATATTAAGGTATATTGAATTGGAATATAGGAGAGAATTCCAGTCTCTGTTTTATTTATAACTAATACTACTAGTTTCCTTATTTAAATAAGTACATGGTAATAATACATTTTCACAACCTTTCATCAGCAAAGTTTGATTACTAATGATCACTTGTTTAATCTAATTGCAAGCTGTAAATGAAACAGGATAAATACAATATGTTACCTAAACAATTTTGTATGCCAATGGGAAAGTTGGAGTATAAAGGCTTCATGATGAAAATTCTGTAAAGGCTTAAATTAATTCCACTGAGCAGTGAGGTTTACTTGTGTTAGGTAGTAATTATTATATTTACATATACCACTTTGCATGAAATATAGCCTCAGCAGCTGGATTTTCTGTACTTGTATGCCTTTATTAATTCTTTCTGTATTGCTCTATGTAGCTTTATCACTTTTCCCCATGTGCTTTTTAAAATGTATTCTTTCAGACAATTAAAGTATCTCAAATTGATTTTCTAATCATAACTAGTAAGATAAGATAGTTATGACAAATTACATAATTATAAAAATATATGTTTGCTTCAGTGGTGGTCATGGTCTTCAGTTCTTTTGTGCACAATTGGGTAGATAAAGGGAAGGTGAAAATTTAATCTCTTAGGTCTATCTGTCCCACTGTTGAAAATAAAAAGTTGGAAACCCAGCCTATATTTGAACAGAATAGAATAGAACAGAGTTGGAAGGACCTTTGAGGTCTTCTAGTCCAACCCCCTGTTCAGGCAGGAAACCCTGTATCACTTCAGACAAATGGTTATCCAATCTCTTCTTTAAAGCCTCCAGTGTTGGAGAATTCACAACTTCTGGAGGCAAACTGTTCTACTGGTTAATTGTTCTAACTGTTAGGAAATTTCTCCTCAGTTCTAAGTTGCTTCTCTCCTTGATTAGTTTCCACCCATTGCTTCTTGTCTTCAGGTGCTTTGGAGAACAGCTTGGCTACCTCTTCTTTGTGGCAGCCCCTGAGATATTAGAAGACTGCTATCATGTCACCCCTAATTTTTTTTATTTTATTAAACTAGACATACCCAGTTCCTGCAACTGTTCTTTATATGTTTTAGCATCCAGTTCCCTAATTATCTTTGTTGCTCTTCTCTGCACTCTTTCTGGAGTCTCAACATCTTTCAGTCTCAACATTTCTACTAGAGAGACTAAAGACAAACTCTTAAAAGTATTAGGGGATTGTGTTATGCATAGGTTTATTTGTTATTTCAAATAGTAACAGATGACTTCTGTTGAATTATCATATTTTGGGAAAGACCTTGGTTGAACTTTTTTTGAAATACATATATCTTCTTTCTAAGTGGTCTCTTCTAGTGTATAT